CAGTTTCCTCCTCTGGGGATAGGCCACTGGGGGATGGGAGATAGAATCCTGCTGATGGGCCTACCCACATCCTCGGGAATAGGGACTGTGCAGCTTTATTACAGAGGGGTTACTGGGTGGGAAATGGCCCAGAAATGAGGAGGCATTGACTACCCAGAGAGAACGTGAGCCTCATGGGGGAGGGGAGGGAGGAGTACATGTGCATATGTGAACACAGTGGCTGCAAAGCCCGGAAGGCTGCACTGGCTATGATGTCCCCTGAGGTCCAGGCAGGATGCTGGGAGGAAGTCAGTGCTGCCCCCTCCTGAGCTTTCATAGAACACACACACACACACACACACACACACACACACACACACACACAGCAAGAGAGAGAGAGAGAGAGAGAGAGAGAGAGAGAGAGAGAGAGAGAGAGCGCAGCATTGGGACTGACCTATGGAAGCCACAGGGCCCTTGGTTAAGGAGGGTCAGAGGCGGGCCCCTAACTCAGTGGGTGAGGCCTGGGAAACATTACCCGGCTTGTGCAAGTCCATTGTCCCCAGTCAAGGTGGCATCCTGGGCTAGAACCAGGAGGAGGCCCAAGACCAGGTCCTCCCTCCCACCACAAGGGGTTGATGTGGAACAGGCCCCTGATTACCTATTGCTGAGAGGTTTGAGGGCAGTTCCTTTCACCTGTCTCATGACAGCATCTAGACAGGCCCCACAGTGTCCACACTGCCACCCACCCCTAACAGGAAGCGTTGTACCTACCTAGCCTGTCCTTGGTGCTTAGCACAGAGCCCAAGAAGGTGCTCAATTAACACAGGACCAAGCCTGCCAGTGGGAGGTGCAGGTTAGGGGAACAGCGTCAGATGGTCTGTCCTGAACCCTGTCTGGGGTGGTGTGATATTGCAGGTGGCTCAGCACACGCCACAGCAGTTAAGCAAAATGTGTGTGTTTGGGGGTTCATTACTGCTCCGCTTTGACAGGTAAAGAAACTGAGGCACAGAGGAGTAAAGCACTTAGTTTTTCCAGGCTACCTGGCCTCCTCATCGGCCTAATACCAACCTATTCTACTATGGGAACTCTTTCAACAGCTGGGGGTCTTTGAGGCTGCACACCGCCAGGATGACTGTGGCTTCATAAACCAGAGACTCCCAGAATGCAAAGTTGTAAACATTTACAAAACTGAGGCCTTAGAAGGGAACATCAGAACTGAAAGTTTGAGGGGCTGGAGGGTAGGCCAGGGGTGCCCAGCCCTGTGTGTGGATACAGAGAGAAGGAGCATGGGATGGAGTGGCAGACAGAAGAACGAAGTCACATCAGCTGTCCAAGCTGACTCTGCCTTTGTCAGGGATAGGGCTCAAGGCAGTGGGTGTGCTCACACTAGGGTAAGCAGTAGCCCCTCAACATGGATGGTGTCCAGGAAGGCTGGCGGTGATTCTCTAAGCATTGCGTTCTAGAAGTATTGCATTCACTGGAGAGAGGCTGCTGGATAGAACAATGATGTCACAGAGCATATGTACCTCTGTGGGGTTTGCTGAAGCCAGGTCAACACATGAATCTAAAGCATGCCGAAGAACAGAGTGAGGTGTCCGGTCTAGCCCACCAGAGAGACGCTACCGTGAGGGTTACGCCCTGCCACTGTGTCTGTGTTGGCTTCCCCAAAGCGGATAAGGGGGGGAAGGGGAGCAGGACCGCCTCCATCCTCATCTTCTTCTGCAAGCATAGGAGTTCACATTCTGAAACTCCTGAATGATTTCCAGGAGTAGGGCGGCCCCTTGCTTCAGTGCGTGGTTACTTTCCAGCAAGCACCATGGCATCCGGCAGCACTGCCTACCCTGGGTTCCTCAAGCACAGGCTCATACTCCAGCCATCTCACTGGTGAAATGACAGTGACAGCAGCCACTCAGCTGGCTCTTGGGGGCCAGTGCCAAGCCTGGGGCCTGCATAGAGGCAACCCCAGAGGATGCATGGATACAGGCTCCCTGGCACTTCCGTTGGTTGTGTCTCTGCCAACCCTAAGCTCTCACCCAGCAAGGTCATGAAATCCACTTTTAGGACCCTAGCAAGCCCCATGTACCTAAACTTCCAAGTGGTCCATGTCAATGTCCCCCGCTGAATGAATAAACAAATGAAGGACACGCGTCTGCCTTGCTCTCCTATCTGTCTTCTCTCTGAGGTCAGACCTCACCCACCCAGACTGGCTTGGTCAGGTAGACCTCCTGGCCCAGAAGGTCCCTGGCTCCTGTCCTGAGCCAACCAAGGCAAGAGCGGTGTTCACGGGATTCCAAGAGCTTGGTGAAAGTCGTCCCCTTTCTGTGGAAAGAGGTGGACCCGCCAGTTCCCATTGATGGACCAACAAATCCGAGGGCAGACTGAGGAACTACATAGGAAAAGGCAGAACACACACACACACACACACACACACACACTACTTCTACCTTCTGGCTTTTTGCTTTCTGATTCCACTTCCTTGCTACCTAGCTCTCAGGAAGAGAGTCTGACTCCACCAGCCCCCTTCTCAGGACCTCTGCCCCTTTGCCCTGCCCAGCCCCCAGGTTTGGGGACCCCATAAAGCACAGAAGTAAATAAAGCCACCTGGACAGCCAGAGTAGACACATGGGATCTCCTGCCTGTCCTGAGTGACTGTACCCCTGTCTATTGGCAGGATGGCCTCTGCCCTGCTATCTGTTGCTTGTGTCTCTTACCCCAACCTGGAATCTTTATAACACCAAAGGCTTTGTTTCCCCCTCCTGCTTGCCACTGGGCATATACCACAGGATTTAGTTTCCTTGGTGCCATGCCAGTACCATCCCTTGATAGGTAACACTCACCCCTTGTCCCCAGGACCATGTGTATAGTCATGCTCCTCCTGAGTTTCTTAGTCCTGGAAGGGCCAGGACAGGACCGAATCCTGATTTAGCTGATGAGGAAACTCAAAATCCCGGCCACCATGCTCCACGCAGAGTGAGCAGCTGAGGAAGACATCGTAATTTCACCTGGCCCTGATTGCATTCACACTTGTGAGGGGAAGGGAGGGCTGCTTGCTTATGCATGCCCTCCGTGCAGCTCCAGGGTGAGTTGGGCCTGCACTGAGCATCCAGCCTGCACAAGGTCTTTCTCGAGAGCCTTGGTCCTGATGGTTGGGACATCCCTGCTCCACAGAGGAGGGAAGAAGGCTTGCGAAATTGTACCAGGCTCCCTGAGGTCACACAGCAGCAAGCTCTGCCAGGTCCCTTCTGAGCCAGGTTACAAGTGACTCAGGGCTGGGAACCAGCAGCCATGGGAGCCAAGGGTGGAGTAGGATCCACAAGCAGGTATAAGGGGTGGCCGGGGAGTAAACCTCATCCTTAACTCGGAGAACATGAGGCTTCTTTTCTGGTTCCTTCTGGCCGTGGTCTTGAGCCAGGAACTAGGTGAGTCGGGGGTGTGGTCGCTTTCCCTCCTGCATGGACTTATTGCTGTCCTTCCATCCTGCGCCATCTCTCACCCTTGGGGTTACCCCTTTCTTCTTTCCTCACCTTATGCTGGACACCAAGACCCTCCCTGCTTGCCAGCCTCTGTCCTCTGCCACTGGCCTTCCCAGATTCCTAAGCCCTTTTCTCTGGACACCACAGCATCCATTGCAGTCCTCAGCTCACTGCTCAGTTTGAAAGCCACCCCCAGGCCTCTCCAGTTCCATAGCAGCACCGTTGCACCCACACAGGCACGGCGCACCTCTGCCACTTTTCCCTCCTCCAGCCCGAGAGCTCCAGCTGGTCTGCAGCCACTCTCTCCTGATGCCCCCTGCCTGCCTCCTTGCTTAGATTCCCTGTTCCACCTTCCTTGGGCAACTTCATCCACTTAACTTCAGTCCCCTCAGACTTCTATAGCCTAGTTTCATTTGCTTCAGTAATAGAGGTTTTGACCCCTAGTGCTTGCTGATGGCCTCCCAGGAACACCCCCAAATATCACTGCCTATGCCTGGTCTTGACATCATTTAGGGGAGCCTAAGTGGTTCCTATATCCAACCAGAACCAATGCCTGAGCAAAGAAACAGTTGGCCCTGTTGTCCAACAGCAACCTGTGTTCTAAACTCGGCCAGCCCCAGCTCCCAGAGATCTCACCTAGAAAAACCTTAGTTTCCATTCATGGGTGGGAACACTCCAGGACTTGGGGTCCACCTGAGGTGGGGTGGGAAATCCATGTGTACACCTCTGGCTGTAGTTCACCCTTCTTGGACCGGGCTTCATGGGGATTCTCTGACCTGAGAAAGCCTGAACTATTGACCCCCAAGTGGTCCCTCAAACCCTTCAGGAGAGACCAGATCTCCTTTGAGTCCTGAGTTCAGAGTTGAGGGATTTTTGTCACTGTCAGGGCTAAGGTTTCGGAGGGTGTGCTCAACCATGGGTCAGTCACCCTCTCTGTCTTAACCAAGGCCTGAATATCTCAGGAGCTTCTGTGAGCCTGAGACCACTTTCTACACTGGGACCTCCCTGTCCCTTCCTCCATGGAAATCATACCTGCTACTCAAGACAAAATTCTCAAGCCTGGACAGTTAGAAGTTGGAGGGAGCCGGGTTCCACATACCTCTCTCAGCATACTCCACATCCTACATCTTTTCTGGCACCTGCTCTGTCACCCAGGGGCAATGCCATATCCCCAGGGCTCGAAGCAGCTGGAGAAGGGTGAGCTGCATCCTAAACTGATCTTAGAGTGAGCAAATAGAATGGGAAGGAGTCAACTGGACCAGCAACATTGCAGCGGGACTGAATGCGGTGGAGTCTGCTCTCCCAAGGCTCACCCCATCTTTCCTTGCATCCTCTTCTCCAAAGTCTTCTCTTTCTCTCTTTTCTTTTCTTTTTGGTTTTTTGTTTTTTGTTTGTTTGTTTGTTTTGAGACCGTATTTCTCTGTGTAGCTTTGGAACCTGTCCTGGAACTCACTCTGTAGACCAGGCTGACCTCAAACTCACAGAGATTCATTTGCCTTTACCTCAAAAGTGCTGGGATTGAAGGTATACACCACCACTACCCAGCTAGTCCTCTCTTTCTCCCTAAGCAAGTACCTGCCTGGGGTCTGTCCCTATGACCTATCACTGGGACTCATCAGTGCAGGAGGATGCAGTGTGATGGATACTTGGGGGCACTGGGAGTGGGAAAGGATCCCTATTCCTCTCCAGAACCCTAGTGAATAGAAGTGAGGAGACAGTGTTAATCATGAAAATAACAAGGCCAGCCCCTACATCAAAGGAGATTCCCTGGGATGGTCTCTGAGCTAGCTTGTGCTACATGAATGATGGAGATGTGCTACATGAAGGAACGAGAGGCGGTACCAGTCCTATTCTCCCCAGCACCTTGCCTGTTCCTTTTGGTGCCCCAGTCAGCTGCTGTCTAAGTCCCTCCCTATCTGGTGAACAGTCTGTTCAGTGTCTTTAAGATCCATGGGGCAGTAGCAGGCTTGGGGGCTTTTGTTGCTGCCTTTTGTGTCCCTGGCAGGATCTCAGCTTGCTCTGCAGGGGTGGTGAACAGTCAAGGCAGGTGGTGGGGACCTTGCTATGGTATGGACTTCCTGTCTGTCGCCTGCTCCATGGTGTATAGGATGAAGGACTGGCCTTTGAGACCGGCTGGAACTGACCAACTGACCAACATACTTCCCTGTGAGGTCTGCTAGAGGTGTGGCTGTAGGAGTCCCAGGGGGAGCTCTACTCTCCCGCATTACTCAGTGGCCCAGGTAGGAGGGGGCAAGGACCAGGAGCTTCCCTGCTCAGCGTCAGCTCTGGACTCGCCCAGGGCAATTGATGCTGGAGAGTACCCAGGGCTGGGCTTGGGGTTAGGGAATCCAGAGAAGGGAGCTTAAGGAAGCACCAGAAAGATGCAGAGAGGCAGGGAAAAGGCAGGGAGACAGATGAGGAAATCCAAAGGAAGCGTGAGAGTGTGGTAGGCCACTGGTCTGGTGGGCACCCCCTGGGCTGGATGCAAGACTAGTGATGCACCATTTGTCATGGTGGCAAACAGAGCTCAGTGGACTCCCACCTTCCTCCTGCCTGGCCATGCCACAGATTCCCTACTAACTGGGTAAAGTCCCCACCAACTCTGCCCACAGAACGTTTATACCAAGGGGTATAAATGACCCTTCTCAGGTTCCGGAGGGGAGTATGGTTAAAGTCTCAGATCCTCTCTCCTCCCCAACCCTGGACTTCAGGAGCCTGGACCTGCATTCCTCTTCCCTAGGAGCTCTCACCTCTGCTCCATCCAGCCCTTGGTGCCCTGAGAGAGGAACACAGGCCAGCTGGTTCCAACATGAACCAGTATCTCTCACAGTAATAGGCTGAGCACCAGAGTCTCACTTCTCCCTCCCTCCAGGGCCTCAAGGGGCTTTCCACCACAGATGAGGGCTGGGAAGCTGGGCTACAGAGCCGTGGGGCTGGTGGGGGATGGAAGCAGAGTGTTGGGTACAAGAGCGGGTGTCACCCTCTGCAAGAGTTGCTCACTGGCTGCCCCTGTCTCTGTCTGCCTTATAGCTATAACACAGGGCATGCAGTGTCACATCTGCAAGGGGTTTGGAGGATGTTCCCACCCGTCCAGATGCCCAAGGAGCTCCACCCACTGTGTCATCATCGGCACCCGTGAGTGCGGTGGGAGGGGTGGGCTGGACATACCCTTCTTGCACAGAGAGCTGGCTCACTGGGCAGGCAGAGCCCAAAGTCAATGTGGTGGTCCACCAACCTAAAACAGAGTGGAAAGATGTCCAGCCGTCCCTGACTGGCAGGGGCTCTTGGTGCCCGGGGATGATGCTCAGCACAATGGTGAATGTGGCAGAGGTTTGGCCAGCTCGGGGATTCAGGAAACACCAGGTCTCTCTCTTATCCCTTAGGAGCTCCCATCAGCTTTACAGACTTGCCTCTGGTGACAAAGATGTGCTACAATGGCTGCCCTGATGTGGCCAGCTTGGGCTTGGGTCCTCACGTATCCATCGTTTGCTGCCAGTCGAATCTCTGCAACAAGGACTGACCACTGCCAGCTGGCCTCGCGGAACCATGCCCAGGCATGATCCTCGGAGATCATTCTAGCCTGGCCAGCCCAAAGCCCCCAACTCAGACTTCCTCAGGAAGTTCTAAGTGAAATCCTGCATAAATCCACTGTGGTACAAACTTAAGGTCCTAATCCACTGTGGGCCACCCTCAATGTCAACAAATCTTCCAATAAAAGCAGCTGGAGCACACGGTGTGAGTTGTCCAATGGAAGCAGTGTACCAGGCACCGGATTCAGGCAGTCTCTTAACCCCATCCTGTCTCTTATCAGTCACAGCCTCCTGGGCCCAGGCTGTCTGTTGCAACCCCCACTGACCTTCTTTCTTCTACTAAGAGCCTACCTATTTCTAGGGCAGACACGGGGTCTGAAAGTCACAGGGGCTGCAGATGGTGGTGCTGCTCTTGAGCAGGCTGTGAGGAGGAGCCAAGGCTGTAGGCACTTGAGAAGCACAGCAACTTGAGTCTGGGGCCCAGAAAAGGGGCTGGGGGCTGAGGAGCACTCCAACTTAGAGGTGAGAGTGCCCTAGATCTGGAGTTTGGGATGCTTGAGGAGCACTCTGACTTGGCCTTAAAGGCTGGAAGGATCTCTGCCCCAGGCCCAGTGAGCACCTTTACTCTGAATGAGACTCCAGAAGCCTCCTACAGACCCACAGTTGAGCGGGCGGAGGAGGAGGCCTCTGCAGAAGAGGAGTGGTATTCACTAACCACAGCCCTTTGGGGATCATCCACCTTTGTTGTCAGTAGCTCTCGGGGAACCCAGCTACCTTCTTGCCTTATGTCTCTGGCACCTTGTCCTGTTCTATCTTTCCTACCACGTCCTTGCCTGGTTCACCTTGCCTATGTCTCCCAAAAGGCTGCCCATCTATCAGACCCTGTGTGGCCCTGGGTTTGGATAGAGCCACCCAGACAGTATAACCGCTCATTCACCTTAGTCTGGACACAGCAGTTAGACACCCAGAATTTGTGGAAGTTACTCGGTAAATATTTACCCACCGGCTCCCAGCCATGCCTGGAGATAAGTTTCGGCCTCTTGGTTTCAGGACCACAGAGGGAAGTCACAGTTGGTACCTGGCAGGAAACACAGAGGCAGGTCCTGACCTCGACTTGCTTGTTCTCAGCTTGGCAAAGTTTTCACAAAAATAAACCCTTGTAAAAAGGCGACACCCATGAGGAGGACAATGGCCAAGCAAAGAGTAACCGACAGAAGGCTGGGGCCTCAGCATCAGCCAAAACCCAGAAAAGAGAAAGCTCATGCTCTCGGTGCCTGAATGAGCAACAGTGCTGCTCGGGGCAGTGTGGGAGGGATGGCTAGCTGCATATCGGTACCCAGATGTAAAGCCAAGTAGAGATGGGTCCAGACCTCTCTCACCAGTGCAAAAGACACTTCAGTCAAATCAGAGACTTCAAAGTAAAAACAAAGACCTTATTTGTTTGGGGAACTGAACTCACTGTATAGTCCAGGCTGGCTCAGCGTCCTGCATAGCTGAAAAGAAATTAAGTGCTAGCCCATTCAGAAGAGAAAAGGCCTCAAACATGACTCTGGGCTTACAAATGATTAATTGGATGATTAAACCCGGGTTCTGGTATGACCCGGAAGGGGTGCCCCTGGACTTACACACAGAAGTAGAAACGTGTCCCCCGGAAACCGGCCCACACTTGCTCAGAGCAGAGCTGTTCACACCCAGCAACCACAGGGTGGAAACCCACAAACCCATCACTGTGAATGCATGTATACAATGTGACGTCCCTCAGGTCACACAATCCTTGTCAGCAGCCCATAGGATTAAGGCACTGACCCACACTCCTGCAGAGCTGGCCCTTGAAAACACTGCAGAACACTGCATTCTCCAGGACTCTGCATGAAATGGCAGGATTTACGGCAGACTGGAAACAGATGGAGGCAGGTGTACTGGGCAAGAGGAGACTTCCAAAGCATTTCCTTCTGCTGCACCATTAAGTATCTCTGATCACCAAGATGCTTGTACATTTCTTTGGTCACTATAAATATCAGAAAGGTTCTCCAAACACTAGGATGGGAACACATAGCATATGACAGAGGCTGTGGCAGAGAGGAAGGTGAACGGGAGAAGCGTGCCTAGGCTGCTTGGGCAGCGGTCTGTTGGCCTTGAAAACGTGGGGAAAAACTTGACCACTCTGGTCAGTAGTGACTCTGCTGTGATGTTCAAGGCACCTTGTCTGAATTGCTGCAGTTACAGAAGTCAGGGTGTCTTGTGCTAGGCCTGCAAAGAACAGGGTGCGTGCTGAGCAAGGAACCTTTGGCAGGGCTCAGACAGGACAGGACCACTCCCGTCACAACTTCCTACCTGTACCTAGGTTTATGGGGTTTGACAAAAAAGTACTCATCCTGGGCTTTTTTTCCAGCCAGCAATCCTGCAGTGGGCTTCAGTTGACCATTCTCCAATACAACTCAGATACCAACTATGTATAGCCCACATCAGATCCGACAGGTCAAAGTTCTGCCCCCAAGGCTATGCCTCTCTCACATCCTTCACTGTGTCTCTGCGGACAGTATTTTTGGCGTCTTTGGTCATGTCCTTGATTTTAAGAGTGTGTAAAAAGTGCTGCCTGAATTCTTGGGTTTCGCTAAGGAACGTCAGAGCCTCCCTGCGTTCCCAGGCACGAGTACTTTCTCATTATCTTCCTCAGAGGCCCAGATTCTCCTGTGTTAAGCAACCCAGAGACTGAGAGTCCTGTCCCTTTGTTTTACGGAGGTTTCATCATGTGGGCATCATTGATTACATCATTGGCCACTGGTGATCGGTTTACCTTTCAGTTCCTCTCCCGCCTCCAGAGGAGACTTGGGGTGGGGATAAAAGTCCCCACCCTCTAATTGTGCAGGTGTCTCCTAGGTGACCAGCCCCATCCTGGAACTAACAAGGGGCATCCCTCCACTTGTCATTCATCAACTTTTAAAAGACGCTCTAATTGCTACAGGGTTTCCAAGAGTTTTAAGGAGCTGTGTGTCAAGAAACTTGGCTGAAGACCAAGGGTACTTTCACAATGCTGCGGGAATGGAGGGATGGTTCAATAGCTAAGAGCATGGGCTTCCTCTCTGAGATAATGGAACATGTCAACACAACCAGTAGTGTTTTCAGATGTCCGTGGTTATGGCAAAGCTACTGAGCTCGGTAGTGGGATGTCACTGTGTATCCCAGGCTGGCCTTGAACCCATGGCAATCATTTTTTAGTCACCCAAATGCAGAGATTACAGGTGAGCATCAGCACACACAGCAACTGATATAATTTGAAATGTGTGAGTTGCCAGGAAAATGAGGTACAGTCAATAAAGCCACTGAAAATTAAAAAGAAAAAGATAGTCAGGCAGTGATGGCACACATATTTAATCCCAAAACTCAGGAGGCAGAGGTAGGTGGATCTCTGTGAGTTCGATGCCAGGTTTATCTACAGAGTTCCAGGACAGCCAGGACTATCCAATGAAACCCTGCCTTGAAAAATGAAAACAAACAAGCAAAAATAAAACAAAAAAGAAAAGAAGATAAACAAGATGCAAAATCTAAATAGAGTCATCAATTATTATATAAGAATTTGTAAAATAATACACATGGAAGCTTCCCAGCTTGGGAGACTGGGACTAAAGGTTCAGGTCAGCTGGGTTACGTGAGGAGACTTGGGAGAGGAGGTTGTTAGCAAAATTGAAAGGCAGAAGACCAAGAAGGAAATATTTGCCTCACTTGCCAAGAAGTGTACCACCCTCCACGTGTGCCCACAGGGCAGTGCCACAGGAAGTGATCAGAGGACACACAGAGAGGCCAAGCAAAGAGGAATGCTGAGGTGGGGTGACAGGAGAGAGCTGTCACCCTGATTATCAAGGCTGTGACAATGAGAGAGACGCAGTGGGTGAGGCCTGCGGCCGGAGGGGCCTCCTGTGCTGGCTGCTCCTTGGAAGGACATTGGTAGACTCTAAGCCTGAAGTTTTCCGGATGCTGTTTCTGTAGATGCCTGTGTCTCTTGTCTAAACCAGCTAACTTCAGCACATCTGTGCCCACTGCTGGGTAGCCATGGCCATGCGCGGTGACGGATTTGCAGGATCAGAGACTTTGAGGCAGACTTTCAGGAGAGGGGTTGGCTAGTAGGCTGAAGTGCAGTTTGAGAGTCTGAGGCCAGATGTCAGAATGTGGGGTGATCTTTAATGATTTCTTCTGAGGACCTCCTAGGCCCTTTGGGAAGGGCTATCACCAAGTTTACCTTCCTGGACGCCTCCTGGAACAGTTGTGCTACAGCCGTGAGGACTAAGGTGGTTTATGTTTCCAGGGACAGTGAGCCTGTAGAGAGGTGGTTCTAGCTCCCCTGAGACCAAGCTCTGTCCTTCTAGAGACATTCCTCTGACGTCTGGCTGGTGGGTGGAAAGGGTAGGTACGGAGATGTCTACTGCCCCGCTTTCAGGATGAAACCATGACCATGTTGTGATCCACAGAGCAGAGGTGCTTACGGGGTTTATGGATGTCCCCTGGGAGATGTGTGAGAGGAAAAAGGAAGAGCTATGACATTGAGTGAGGACAGGGAAGGCAGAGGCAGGGCTTTATGAACTCGAGAGAACATCCTGTCCAGACAGACCTCCCTCCGTAGCTTGTCCTGGGCTCTGGCTTGTAACCAGTGCTCCCTTTCCCAGACCTCCGGAACCAGGTCTCTGTTGCTGCTCTCCATTGAGAGACAGAGGTGCGGATGGGTACCCTCAGAGTCCGTGCTCAAGTTTCTTCCCATCCACCACACCAGTGCATTTCCTTAATGCTGCAGCTGGAGGGAGGTGATCCAGACAAGGTCTGGAGAGAGTTGCCACCGCAGAGTCTGGGTATGCCCAGAAAACTAGTTGGTTGTGTAGTGTGAGAGGGACAGAAAGGTGAGATCTGACTGACTCACAGCTCTGGCATGACTCCTCAATGTCAGTAGCCCCAGGAGAGCCCCACAATGTCCTAGCATAGTAGCAGTGCTGGGGAGGTCCTTCACAGTTACCCTTAGAGCTCGAAGTCCAGACACACGTAAGGCCTGGCCCCAGTCATACTCTGACCTGATCCTGGTTATATACTAACCCCTGATCTTAACCATGCCTTATTCCTGGTTACACTCGGAGAACTGATCTTGTTCTTGCGTTGAGTCCTGACCATGGTCACACACTGAGCCCTGCTCCTGATCCTGGCCATA